AGAGAGAGAGAGAGAGAGAGAGAGAGAGAGAGAGAGAGAGAGAGAGAGAGAGTCAACGATGTCTGGCACCACTGCCTCAACAACAGGAAACTTGATTGACATTCTCGCACAGAACATCCGTCGGCTCAAGCATAAACCCCCTCTCGCCTGCCTCTCACCGCACCGCACCGCACCGTACCGTGCCGTACCGTGACCTACCTCGGTGGGTATCGATCTCGTTGACAGCACCCTCCGCACGATGTCCTCCAGCTGCCCATCCAACCCGCCGACGTCGCACGCCAGGCCGTCCGCAGTCAACAGGTCCTCCACCCCCCCGCCAACCACCTCACCCGCCGCCCGCCCTTGCTCCACGACTCCCCCGTCGCTGCGTACGAGCGTCAGCCCGCCCCCCCCGTCCTCCTTGTCCTCCTCCTCTTCGTACACATCTCCATCACGAAACAGCAGCGCCGGCGGGCACGGACACGAATCCATGGCCACGATCGGGAGGATGCCGTTCTCGGCGGGGCTGCTCTCCCCGCCGCCGTCCCCTTCCACCCCCGCCGCCTCCGCCCGCCCGACGCCTTCGGCCTCCGCCCGGAGCTCGGCGGAGCCGGAGCTGCTGGTGCCCGGAGCGGCGTAGCTCCCGGAGTACCCCGATCCCCTCGACCAGTCGTACATTACCACTTCGAGTATCACCGCCGGCTGGAAGCTCTCGTTGATGAGTCGTCGGGCTGGGAGACAAGGGAGATAAAAACGGAGTTGCGGGCGGGATAAAATTGCGTGAGCGGGAGATGGCCGGGAAGGAACGGGACACCCGGACGGACGCGTGGTCTTGGTGTATGTTACTCGGGCCATGAAGTGCTACACGCGCCCATTTACAGCCGACATGAGGAACTATCAGCGGGTTATCTGGTTGGAAATGGTGCCGAGGCAAAAAAAGGCAACCAAACGATGAGCAGTAAGGCGCTTCAAGAGCGCGCGCACAGAAAGGGGGCGGGGTGCCGGATACCCGATTGCTCCTCGATCTCGACACGGTTCAGTTGCAAAACACAGGGGGTATTATGGGGTGGACACCGATGTTGATCTTCGTCGACGGGAAGACAAGTTCAGTCTTACCTCCACCCCCGAAGCTCGACCAAACCGGTGTCTCCAAAGAGTGCGTGGACCTCCCGATCACCCGCTTGCTGTTGGACTTCACCTACTCGAGTTCGGGGCGACAATCGAGGCCAGAAGACGAGGACCAACAGCAGCAGGGTATGTGATGGCTGGTGGACGAGGGGGTAGGTGTCGGGCTCCTGCACAAGACTAAAAAAACCACACCTGATATTCGCGATGACAGAGACAGGGATAGGCACCCGCACCCACCTGCTCCACCTCGCCCGCCAGCACCCGTGACAGTATGTGGCACCCGTACATCGGCCTGTGCGACGGAGGGTTGCCGTTGCCCGCCGGAAGCACGGTTAGGTACACGCCGACGCGCCCGTCCTCCGGGGTGGCGACCGCCACCCTCACCGGGCGTGGGGACAGCGTTAGCCACGACCAGGCCAGCGCCGAGCCGTCGGAGTGCCGCGAGCGTTGACGGGCGCGGGAGAGGACAGCCCTCACACCCTTGTTGAGCGGAGGGTTCGTGGTCGGAATGGCGGGGGCAGGGGAGGGAAGCAAACGGTGAGGCAGAGGTGGAAAATGAAGAACAGGGTAGACTTCAGTCTTGGGGATGCTCTGTTGTATTCAGCACCGCATACACAAAACACACACGCCCTACGAGTGACATATTTGCTATGGACAGCCTTGTTCAGCAGTTGATCCACACCTATACATGAAATAGATGCACATGACTACTAGCCAGGTTGGTCACTTGTATCGTTAGTCGCCTTCTCGCAAAGTCGAGTAGGTGCGGTCGTCGCAACCTTGCCCTTCACCCCCAACTCGATCAGCCCCCCCGCTACACTGCTGCTGTTACGATGCTGCTACCACAACTAACTATACTGCTACATGAGTGGAATGACAGCCTACACAAAAACACGCACAGCGGTGAGGACCTTGATGCTGTTGCACACGATCTACACAACACACACGTGCCCCCTTAGCTGTGCTTTGCACGAGCTGTCCTCACCTCCAACAACGCCGGAGCTGTTTTGAATCCAGCCCACTCGCTGGAACCCGTGTGGGAGGACTCTGCGGCCGCATCGCTCTTCGTGGCTTCCGCACAGCGCTCCAGAAGCTCGTCCAGCAAGGTCAACTCGCCCTCGCCGTCTGGAACACTCCGCCCTCCCGCTGTCGTCGTGCTGCTCGGGACTCCCTCCTCGGTCTTGTGCGCCTGGTGCTGATGCGTCTGTGCTACCCTGTGACTGTTACTCCCAACCCTACTCCTGTACCCTGGTACGGAAGTTTCTTGCCGCCGCCGCTGCTGCTGGTGTTCCTCGTGGTGTTGCCGCTGAAGGCCCATGCGCGGTGACATCGTTGAAGGAGATATGTAGCATGTTCGTGAAGTCAACAGTCCCGTGCGGCACGATGTATTTGTTGTGCTCTTGCCGCTCGTCGTCACGAACGCGGCGGCGTGTCCCATGCAGTGCGAAAGCACCGAGACTGCAGCAGCCACGGAAACAAAGCTAGGTGCCATGCACGCTCCTTGGTTGGTCGCGCCCTCTCGGGCTAGCTCTGTGTTGGCCGAGCCTTGCCGAGCCTTGCCGAAACGGTGGAGGCTTCGCGGCTGGGTTCAGTAATAAAAAAAAATTATCCCCCCTTTGTCTTGTCTGTACCCCCATGCAAGCGACAATTGGCGACAAAGCGTGAAAGCCATGTTGCCCCGCACACACCCCGCCACGCCGGCGAACTGTACGGCATGGTTCGCTTGGTGGAGGGTCAGATCGTCGCGGAGGATGAAGATGGCGCGGGTGGATGGTTCCGGAGGCTGCTCCGTTGCAGGACGATCAATTTCCTGGGCTTCCGCGTTCCCCTGTATTGGAGTTGCGTAATCGTCGTCTTCGCAGGGCTCAAGTTTGGCATCTTCGGACTTCTCTTCGTTGCGGCAGCTGCGGGTAAGCCAGCCTGGGCTACGCTACATGTTGTGTACAGGCGATTGAGAGAACTTCAGTCCGCCGGTGGGCGTCGAGTTTACGGCAGTATTGGTTCTCTATCTTATAGCGAGGAGCCGGGGGGGGGCAGCAGCGGAGCGATGTCGTTACTCGCCCCCTACCTCCTCGCTTGCGCGAAAGCGCACTTCAACACAGCATACCGGTAGAACACAACAGGTGCCATCTGTCATGACGGCATGCCACACGGTGCGTACGAAGAGTAGCCGTCCGAACAGCACCGTTGAGCGGACTATCTCGTTACCATGGCGAGAGAGGGGTTCCTGTACCAAAAAGTGCCTCGGTTGTTTCGTACTCTGGAGTATTGAGAACCCCCATGCGTAATTTATGTGTGACTTGAACACCGAGTGCACTGCTGTCGCCGTGGTGTTGTGCTCTGAGGGCCTCTGATGGCAAGTATGTGCCGCCTTACAGCCCTCGGGTTTCCCGTGAGGCGCAAGATATGAAACGCTCACTGCATTTGCACCAAGGTGGTAGGTCATGGCGACGCCGTGCTCGAGAAAGATGTACCAACACACAGCATGGCACCACGTCTCCCGTCGTCTAACTTTTCACTTGCCGAGCCCCGAAAACGCTGAACTTGGGAACGCCCATCCATGCCTGATGCCTGACCCCCACGCCTGGTAATATGATCGCGGATCGCAAAAATGAACAAGCGCAGAGTCTGCCGCGACCTTGCCGATGTGTCAACGTCCATCGCCCCTCCCCTTCATCAGAACCCCGCGCGATACGCTGGACCCATGGCCTCGTTCCGAGAACATTGCTTGTGACTCGAATCCCCCGCCGTTAAAGTCGACACGCGCCGAAGAGGCTGTCGGGACAACCATAGAATTGAGGGATGATGGGCCATGGCGAAGAGAATAGATTGAAAAGAACACGAAACAGCGGAAACCCAGGTGAAGACGTGAAACCGCACGCCGGACTAACTATTTATTACGGTTTTGGCCTCGATCTTGCAAAATTGGATCAGGCGCAAGCCAGTACGCCTGCAACGATGGAGTTTCGGGCGGCGGCGGAAGCGGTGGCGGACGTCGACCATTCGCCCGAGGTGAACCTGTCCCACCACACACCCTACAGTAGTGGTTGGCGCTCATGCTTGCCATGTGCACGAGTTTGCATTATGTACTGGTGTCAAACATTCTCGTCTCTCCCAAATAGTGTCTTGAAGAAGATGTTTGATCCGTCGGCAACCATGACCCGAAACTCGCAGCTGTCCTACGTAGCTTCACATGCACCGTTTCTGCCGGTTCGACGTGCGCTGCTCGCTCTTTGTCGAGCGGGCCAAATGTTTATAATGGTTTAATGGGTTATGTTCATAACCTTTGGCACAAGTATGTGTTGCGGCGTTTTGGTGCTGATATCCACCAGAGGATGTTGGTTTTTGTTAGTAGGCAGAGGTCTGAGTGATCTCCCGATCCGTCGCACTCTCCTTAGGTAGACTCGCCCCCCTTTCTTCAACCCCACAACTCACAAGGCGCTGTCCGAGGAAAGTCCTAGCCAATAACCACGGCCAGCGTCCCCTCGATGTTGCCAACGATGTGCCGGCATCTGGTGTGGTGTGTGTCTTGTTTGGTTGTCCCTATCTCGTCCCCGTCCCGCGTCTGTGTTAACACCGTCCACCGCGCCGGCGCGCCCGCCGTCGCGCGACAACCTTGAACGATTTACTCGCGTGTGCACGCATCATCACATTGGCAGGGTCCAACGTCAGAGGTATAAGCGACCTGCCGAAGCCTCCCCCGTCCAGCTGACGAGGGCCGGGCGCGTGCTAGAACAAGCTCTCTTCGTGTATCAATCTACACGAGAGCTTCTAGCACGCGTCCGAGTCGAAGCGAAACTCCTTCAGTACAACGATGTTCAGAGTATTGCGCCATGTAGAGAGATGCTCTGGTGATGGCAAATCCGGGCGTGGGTAAGGGAGCGCGGAGGCGGACGAGCAAACTCGACGTTGTACATAGCGTGGGGTGCGAAGAGTGACCTCGTTGATGCGTTGCGCTCTTGGGAGTTGTGGCTACAACAACTCTCATCCTCGATGCCAGAGGGAGTCATAAGCTTGGATACGCGGGCACGGGATACTGGGACCTTCTTGGTAGTGTAGCCCTACTGGTGTGCAATTCTCAGTTATTGGTGTTGAGCCATCGTTTATTCGCCCACACCTACCCCCCCGTTGCCCGGCGCCGTCGTTTGGATCCACGACGGGCGGAGCATCATTGTTGTAAGTAGAAATGTACCACGAGCATGGCGGGATTCACGAATGACGCTTGCCACTAATAAAGTTCCTTGGGAGACAGGTGGCAGGCCGACATGCGAGTTCTCTCTGCTAATGAGACCTTTGTGGCGAGGAAAGCCTTACACGGTAACGTTTGGTTTCATTTCATTGTGTACGTCGCTGTGTCATTTTGTTGGGCTGGGTTGGGTTGCTTGACTTGATTTTTCCGTAAGGCCCTATGAATTTTTGTCCACCGCGCTTTGCGTTGTTTCTTGGCGGTTGCTGGGGTTGTTCATCGTTCGTTGAATATTCGGCCCGCTTTGTGGTGACAGCGCTGGAGGCAACTGCAGGGTGGCGTGAGAGCCACGCTTTCAGCGTAAGCTGTGCTGGTAGTGCGCTAATGCGAGGAGGTACAGATTCTGTGTTCCGACCGCTGGTTGGATCATCGGCGGTGGCCGTGCTGATGATTTCGTTATTTCATGCCCCCAGAGTACTCCAGTATTTTGGAATGGCACATCCCATTAAGCGCTTTATGCCATCCGACACATAGCCTCAGCTCTCTTGCGAATGCCCACCACGAACTCCTTGCCAACTGTCTCGATGGAAGATAGACGTACCAACAATTTATTTTTGGCGGTTGCTGGGATACGGAAAATGAGCTGTCTGAGGTTTTTGTGCCATCGTCCCAGAAAAATCCGTTTCCACGCGCAGACGAAGCTGGTAACTCGACGACCCGATCCCTTGGATCATGTTAATTTGTTGTTGAGGGAGACAACTTGAACAACCATATTTGGCTTGCAGTCATCCCACGGGAGAATGCAGAGTATTTTCTGGGCTCCCAAAAAATACAGGGCACGCCGGCAACAGAGAGCGCGGGCTCCAATGAATCGCCAAGTGCGATCATTCACGCAGTGTCTGGATGAAATAGAGTAATGTTGTGTTCTACCGAACGTCGGAGAGCGTTCACCAGTTCCCTACACGGCGGGCTATCCGAGGCTAGGTTAGCGTCCATCTGCCCATTTCCTCTGGATGATGTCATTTTCCCGGACGCCGTTTTGTCTAGCCCTCCGGGCAAGAAATGCAACCCCAACGACCCTCAGAGGACAAGAACGCACCACAGGAGACCCTCTGAATAAAATACGTCTGGCGCAGTCGGACAGCGTTACGGTTCAATCGATTTCTTCAAGGAGAGGCTTCAATCTAAGCACTCCCATCACGTCATGTGGATTAGCTGGACTCACCAACTGGCTAAAAGTCTGACTTCCTTGCCTACGCCGACAAGCTCAGGTTGGTCGCCTATAACCCTGACCCTGGTGCTTCTGCTGAGGTCTCTCACGCAGCACTTGATGGCGTTTTGACGTGCTTGCTTCGATTTGGCACCACTGGCGGTATTTTCGGCTGTGTTGAATGAAGGCGATGTTGGCAAGAAACACCAAACGTCCAAGGTCAACACCGCGTCAGTTGAACACAGACTTCACAAGATTCTGAGCTGATACAGGAACGGCTTGTTAACGTAAAGACAACAAAAACAACGAAAACAACCAACACCAAACACCATTTTGAACAGGGCCAATGATGATAAGGACTTGGTGCACAAGGCGCACTGAACCCCTATTGTTATTGCACCCACTCGTCTGACGTCTCAACTCGGCTCATAAAGCAAGCCCGCTCCTGGATCATTTTGTCACGCGGGGTTCCGCGATTGTCTACGTCGAAAATGACTTCAACGCCGTCGGCATAACCAAGAGGGAGTTTGTGATAAGGAGACGTCGGATGTCCACTTTAGCATCTGTCTACCGTAGCCAGGGACAAACACATGTGGAATATCATTCGACATGCGGAGTCCGCTGGGAAATGGTATGGACAGGGCGGCCTCATACGTAGCCCTGTCACTTGCAATTTGAAGATCTGTATCTCCTCTTTCCGGTGACGTTACCAGCCCTCAACAAACCACCCAACAAGGACGTCCTGTCACTTCCTCGACTACCTCGACTGCCTGGACGGAGATACTCTTGCAATATCTGGCACGGTTCACGAAAACGTCGGTCTCCCTTGCTGCGGTCGCCGATGTTGGACCGCTGGTGCAAAGGGCACAACAGAAAAAGGGAGTCAATCGCTATGGTCATGGCGCAACCCGGAACATCCCTCACCTACACCTCCGAACAGTGACAAAAAATGCTTCGTCAAGTATTCTCTCACCTTCGCCATGTCCACGGCGCAACGCGGAGTATCCTTATAGACTATACATATCTGAACGATGACAAGAACTGCATCTTCAACTCTTCTTTGGCCTTGGCTCTGGCAGCGTGGGATGTTCAACGCACCCAAGACACAACCACGTTGACACACCAAGTTGCTCCGGCGGCGGCAAACCCTTCGTCAACTGCCTCCTACCCCTTCGCATCCACGCTAGGCTGTGCCATGCCTCAACACATCTTGGTAATTCTATCGGTTTGGCAGCGTTTCGCTTGTCTATCGTTTTGGTAGCGTTTCGCATTTACATGGCTACCATGATCAAAATGCTGTAGTTCCCTATCCACAATACCTGTTTGTTGTACACTATTTTCCACTCACGGTACCACTCGCTGTCCACCGTCTCCTTCTTGCTCCTTTCTACCTTCAGCTTGAGACTCGGTATGCGCGTCACGGCATCCTGATGAGTTCTGGATTGCCTGGCCTTCGTTCAACAATGGTAGCGGTCGCCAGCTTCTTCGAGGCAAGTGCTCAACGTTGCCCTCAATACGGCTGGCTACTTCGCCGTCTCGCCTAACAACATCACACTTCCTCTGCTCTACCTGAAGACGGAGTGGGATTGTCTTACCGCATGCGGTTCCCTTCGGAATTCCAGCGGAAATCGTCGAGAAACCGAGTGTCGGTCTTCTCTTCTCCTGTACGGAAATCCAGATGGTCGGGACGCCCCAACCGGCCGAAGTTCAACCCCAGCATTCCAACTGGACACCCGGTTTCGTGTTGCACACGCACCTTGCCAGATAGATCTCAGGGCTCAGCATCGAAACCCCGTGACAATCAGAAGGAAAATTCACTCGCGTTCCACAGATGGACCTCCAAGTCCCGTTTCTTCTCGTGCCACGTTATCATCTCATACCAGTATTGAAGGAACTGCACGGGAGAAAACAGAAGCGTGAGCAAGCAGATACAGGGAGATCATACCCCCCGCGAGAAACACCGCGATGTCGGCAAGACGCCCCTGAAACTTGAGGTACTGCGTATGGTGCAAAGTTTTGGCGTTGGGTCGGGGGGGCATCGATTCTTGCCCAGAGAACAGGCCTTCCCGAACTCCGTGAGTGCCTCGTTCATCTGTTCAACTTGACCATGTCGGAAGCATCTACATCTGTGGGCATTCTACTCTACGATAGGGTGGGTTAGCGTGCGAGGTCAGGGGGTGAGCGACATGGACTCGACCAAGCGTGAAGAGTGAAAACACACACAAATTCACCTGGTACGGAGCGTACTTCTCGTACTCCTTCTTTACCCTTGGCGCCACCTCCTTCACGTTCTTGGTGGTTACACCGTGATAATCCTTGAAGTGCCGGACCTACAGATCGAAAAGGCGTAGGTTGGCACGGCGATGATGCTATGAACGGAGTGGCGGCAGGACACGAGCTAGGACAGGCGTAGCAAAAGGTGTGTGATCACGTGCAGAACCAAACTCATGGAAATTCACCCGCCTGGCACGTAGACCTCAAAACATTCGGGGTGGATTCTGTGAACCCATGTGAGAACTGTTCTTGATTCAGTCATGCGTTGCAGTCGTGCTTGGTTGGAAGCGGTGTTTCCTTGTGAAGTATTATGTTCCAAAACCTCATCCGCAGTTCAAGAACGGTTGGATTGAATGAAATGGCTGTGCAGCACGATGTCCCCTCGACTCTTTCATCCATGTACTGTTCATACACCCGTATTTGCATCATGGAACAAAGGTAACACAAACCTTGCGCAACCACACAAACCAGGCGGGCTTCCATGTAGCTGCACCTGAGCCGTTCTTTTTTCACGCTCAGGCTGATCGGAATACATATTCCACGGCCATTGAAGACAATCGGCCCAACAAAACAAAAAAAACGGGTCAGAGCTTGTCTTCCCCGCACGCTGGATGCCTTTTTGACTCACGGTTTCACTATCCATCGGGATATCTTCGTAGAAGCCCAGCAACATCGCCACGTTCCCCGCCGCGTAGTCCCCGAAGCCGTACAGGCCCTTGACAAATTTAAGCACCTCTTCCCTGTGGCGGCGCATATCGAGCGGTCACGTTGCACGACGTGTGAAAAACCGATACGTGGTGTACGAGACTGGAGCAAAGCTCCGGGCATGACCGTGTATGAATATCGCCTTGAAGGCTGTCTATTTCGGCGAAAACACCTTCAGGCATCATCCCCATCGCAAAACAGCTAGCTAGAAAGGAACATCTCAAAGGCCAATGTTGGTATTGAGCATGCACAAACCAATGTCCTTACGGCCTCTCGCTCAACACAGGATTTTACTATCCCTTGGCGCCAGTGTAACAAGATCTCCGCGTACCTTAACAACCTCGGTAGCGAATATCAATGAAAGCACTGCTGTACCTCGTCCGTTCGGGTGCCTCCAGCCAGGTGGGGTCAACGGAGCCGTCCCGGAAGCTCTCTGCCAGCCTCAGGATGCGGCCGGCGCGGTAGCCCACTTTGGCTTTCTCCTTGAGGTCTTCCTCCTGGACGTTTTCCAGGTCCTGGGGAAAAAACACCAGGACGAAGGAAGGGGATCACCGCTCAGAAGCAGCGGCAGCATGGGCTATGAAGCAGTGGTGAAGTAGCGGCGGTAGCAGCTAGTCAGGCAGCAGCGGGACACAAAATCATGATAAACCGGAATGGGCGCAAATCTGAAGCAGCAGCACAAGCACCAGCAGCACCAGCAGCACCAGCACCCATCACGGTTTGCCAGGAAGATCAAGGCAACACGCGGAGGAAGGCAGCGCCAACCGAACACTGCGAACCCCGTGCGGAAAACCACGTTCTTCCATCAGATGAACTTGGTGCTTGCGTACCTCAGGGGTAGGGAAAGCCCCGGACCGCCCAAATTCCTCGCACAGCAACCTGCAGAGAGAAGTACGTGCACGTAGTTATGCGCCGGAATAACACGAACGCCATAGGGGGCTTTAAATGACCCGGCCACACGGGGTAGTATCAACTCATGGTTGATATACTTAGCGTGTGGAATGGGTTAGCACACTCATGTGATCTATGTGATCTAACGAACAACCAGACCTTCCGCCTGCTATTACCTGATGCCGCTTATTAATCATACTCCTAGAGCCAAGTCCTTTTGTGAAGGCAGAAGTTGGGAAGGCAGAAGGTACGCAGGCAGGCAGGCAGGCAGGCGGGCAGGCAGGCGAGCACGTCGCTGCAGGACAGGATCGCAAGAAAGGTCGACTTACTTGTTCATGCGAATAGTTCCCCCGAACTTCATGTTGCATCCCGTGATGCTCTTGACCTGTTCGGCGAAGCAGCGCAAATATAACAAACGGAACACGAAACCCAACATGGTGAGGAACAACACTCTTGAGACTCCACGTTTTCAGCATCACTGGCAGCAGGGAAGCACCTGTTGAGCAACGGCGAAGAAAAACGACGACCAATGGACAAGCTGACAATTAAGCCCTCCCAAGAAATGGGGAGCAGCCAGCAGCCAGCCAGCACAAACAACGAGGGTGCGTCGCAAGGGAGAAAAAAAGGCGGGGCAAATGTGCTTCCCGCTGGTCCTCACCATGTCCTCGAAGACTGTAGGCGAGCTGCGTCGTGACGTCGTCGTCGGGCGTTGTCAGTTCCAACGTTTTCACGGTTTGGCCGCCGTTCGGAGAAAGGTTGCACACGCAGAGGTGTGCGAAGTTGGTGTACAGCACGGAGAGTGAACGGTGGTCGCGGCGTGACAAAACCACAGACGAAGACGACGAGGAAGTGGAGGGCGTGCGGATTCGAACATCAAGAGAGGTACGCTTCACGCGAGTCGAGAAAAAATGAAACAACAGGGTTGGGAATGATGAGAGGATGGAGTGTTTCCGAACACTCAACGACGTGTCCGCCTTGCGGTCGAACGTTGTTTCTACCCTCGGCAGGACACGAGAAAAAATCGTGTCGTGCCATCCTAAGGTTCGGCTTTCAGCGACAAAGGATCGCGTATCCTCTCTCGGCTACTCAAAGAGACGCGACGTCAGAGTGCAGGGCTGTCCTTCAGCAGGAATATTGTGCTGGCCTTTCTTTCTTTCATACAATATGCATAGGAGTACACGGTCGGCTTGCCGAAACGCCGCGCAAGAAAAGACAGGCGATTCCCTGGATCGCACGAGAAGACTCGGCAGTCCGACAGAGCACCCAAGACGTTAGGACAGACTCTCTTCGCCTCAATGTTCTTGGAGACATTCTAACGACGTTCTCCTTGTTCCCACGTACTGAGAGACATGCACGGTGGTTGATGTTGTGTGTCGAAGTCGTTTACTACAAGCGGCCGTGAATTCTGGACAACAAACTCGATTCTGTTCATGTAGCGGTCTTATTCTGCTCGTTGTCCTTGCGCACGCACCGGAAAAGCCGGCCGTAGCCTCGCTTCTTGGCCTCAGGGTGAAGACGGAACCACGGCGCCAAGTCGATGGTAGTCTGAAACATCCTCTGTGCGAGAGCCAGTCATGGGAGAGGGGCGGATATGGCGCGAGAGATGTACGTACAGTGAGTTCCCTACCTGCGGGTGAGCTGCTTCACGAGCGGAATCACACTCGATACGCCCGTAAGGCCATTCGGCGGGGCCGCTCATGGAACAACAACGGAAGGGCGGCAGCAAACGAACAGATGCACGCAAGGGCGCAAGGGCACACGGCTCGTGGTGCATTGCAGATGCAAAAACAACTGAATGTGGCCTGGCAACGTTGAACAACAGGCCAAAAGCTCTCTCGATCTGCCTCTCCCTGCCTGCCTGGCTAGCTGGCTCTCCCTCCCTCTCTCTCTCCTGGCTTCCCCCCCCCCGATCCATACCCAACTGAAAGTCGCATTTGCACACCCAGTGCCAACCCCGACGACTGACAACGTCGAACGAACAGTAACGAGAATTATCTGTACGCGACCACCACTATTCGGACTACCAACATAGCCATCCCGACCATCCTCACCCCTACAACCAACACAAACATCATCGCGGCACCACCCCGACGACTCTTGAACCCTCACTCACCACAACTTGTACACGAATATCCTCTTGATCGGACTCTGTCAAAGCCTCCGCAGAAACCACGTCCACCCTTAGCGCCATGGCCTGTTGGTCTCCTCCCGAACCTTGGTTGGGATTTGACGCTGCCCCACATGCCGGGACAAGAGATATTGTGCATTTTGCCGTGTTGACCAAGCGCTGACCGAACCTGCGGCGTGCGTGTGCAAAAGAAAAAAAAGAATTATCCGAGTGTGAACAACAGCAGCCGACAACAAATACGAAGAATAAGTTTTGCGTCTAGCGTACCTACCCTGGCCAACCCCGCATGGGCAAGGGGTAACCAGTTCAAGTGTCGGGCGAAACCGCGGAGGTTTTCAACCTAGAGTCGCACCAACATGGATGGATACGGACACTTTCGCCATTACCCCAGAGCAGCGGCTCAAAGCCCACCCGCAAGAAAAGAACCACGAGCAACAGTTTCTCCCTCAATACAGTCGATTCCTGCGCGTGATTCAGTGCACAGGCAGGATTTGGGTTCTTGCCTTTCCTGCACCACGCAGATACGTTTGCATTATGTTTTGTCTTACCTGAGCGGGCGGCTGAACGTGCCTGAATCACGAAGACCGGGCGCGCTCTCGCACGGTTGCCAGAGGTTGGGAGGGACGACGAAGTACCCGTAGCTATTGTAACGCCGCAACCGGAGTGCGATTCATCGACAGTGGAAATGAGAGACCCACAGCAGGGACGAAGCGGGAGGAACAGATAGAGGAGGGAGTCGAGACAGCGCAATAAAGTCAAGCGAACGCATCCGCGTGGTTGCTATTGGGGCTGTGATTGGTGGATCCATTGTACACTATATGTAGAACACTGGTGAGAGGGCATAGGCTCCTGTGTCGGTAAATTAGCGTGCATCCATCTTCCGCAAGTCATGCGATCCACTTACACTAGAAATCAGGACGAGCCGACGCACTCGAGCTACTGTGACTCACGGAGGTCAGGCCACAGAGATCGACCTGGTTTGAGGCTTTCGAATTGCTGTCGGTCGAACGACCTCTCTGCTTGCGTGGACGACCCTCGTTTCTCGGAATGTCTCGGCGCTTTCTCCCCGCTTCCCGCATATTTTTTCCCGACATATTTTCACCAACTCCTGGTCGTTGTTTCTCTACACGTCTGCTGTTGCACTGCTGGTGCGACTGCTGTCTGCCAATACGTTGCTGTTTCCCACGTCGCACTCACCATTTTGGCACGCTCGGACACGAGTATGTAACCACGGGATCGCAACTTTGTTGGTGAAGGCCCCGCGAATTCCTGTTCGGCTCTGCTCTCACCTGCACGCTGCCTGTGTGAAAGAGAACCCTTGGGGAACCTTTACCATTACCACAGAGGAGATGCCACACTTCGCTCCTGCCTCTGTCTTCCTTGCTCCGGGATCCGGATTCGCAGCAACGGCGGCCTTCCGGTTAATCTCGCTGCTGTTTGCTGCGGCGGCCATATCGATGCTGGGACCGCTGCTGCTACTATTTTGCCTCCTCCGTTTGCTTGCTGGGAAGGTCATTGGACTGGGCTTGGCAACCTTGCTTGACGCAGCCCGAGTGGTAACGCGGGTTACTCGTGCTGACATGTTGGCACAGCATATGGTTGCCGTGTTTGGCACGGCAGTGTATGGTGTGCCGGAGTCAAGTGAAACTCAGTCACAGAGGGCAGAGGGCATGTTGCACATGGGGGTGCGGCGGTTGGGAGCCAGAAAAAAGGTACATGTACACTTCATGAATGGCTTTATCGTTCATTCATTCTCCCTTCTTCCCCTCGCTCCTCGACAAGCTTTTGCTTAGACATGGGTTGTAGCTGTCTCTTATACACATCTAGATGTGTATAAGAGACAG